AGTCATCGCGAGGCGTGAGCCAGAAAAGACGACAATGAAGAAGAGGGAGGGGCTCTGGAGATAGATGATTAAATGGCAGATTCTCAACGGACGCTGGTTTGAGTCTTGAGTTCTTTAGGCCCTGACAACACAGTTGACGTGCAACTTCGGCGACGTGAAGGAATTGATGGTTTGGAGACAGTTTATTGATGAAACAGGAGACGCCAAGCTGCGAACACTCATGCTGTGGGAATAGAAACTGACTTTAAATAAACCCATCGACTTCTGCGATGTAGCAGAACATGGTGCTAAAAACAAGAGCAGTAGTTGGAAAAATTGTAATATCCATGGGAGCCTTGTACTCAAAGGATATACAAGCAAGCAATCCCATGATGAGAATCGCAGACAAACTAGTCGATGTGGCTTCTGCAATGGCACCCAAGAGCCAAGAAAATGCCACTTAGAAAAAAGTTTGTAAATTCTGTAAAAAAAAAAAAAAAAATTTTGCTTTTTGTTGGCAAAAGGAAAGAGTTCAAGAGGTGAAGCGCCCGAACCCGCAAGAGGGCCAAGTGCCAGATAATGGATCCCGAATCCGGGAGATCCGTATAAAAAAGGTGTCAATCGGCAACGCCTGGTTCCTGACGGGAATTCGGTGAAGACACTGTGCATCTCAAAGTTGATACAGGAGCTCAAGACAAGCTGCTTCCGTATTTCGTATCTTTGAAGACCGGCTAGAAGGAAGCGTTGTGCCCATCTAACACGCAGCTAACAAGCTATGTTGGAAGACTCATTCACCACATCGGCACAGTGTCTGCCTTTGGGAATGCAAGGCGGCGAAAAATTCGTTTCATTTTTCATTGCATAAACAATGAGACATTTACAAATCGCTGTAATGCGAAATTAGAGCGCTGCTCTTGAGGTACTTTGATTTTGCGATATACCGTGCCGTAGAATTTGAGAAAGAAATATATATATATATATATATATATATATAGAGAGAGAGAGAGAGAGAGAGAGAGAGACTTCACGTGATTACGTAAAGTCACGTGATCATGTAACCTTACGTGATTACGTAACCTCTTTCTGCACACTCATCCTCTTCCGTGTCCTCCTCTTTCCTCGTAACCTCCTCCGTGTCCACACCTCCTCCTCCTCTGGAACCTCTCCTCCTCCTCCGTACTTTCCACTCCTCCTTCTGCGTACCCTCTCCTCCTCCTTCGTACCCTCCCCTCCTTCTCCTGCGTACCTCCGGTTACGCTGATGACGACGGTGACGCCGACGCCACAAAACACGGTGGGGCAGGCGAAGCTTTCGAACTTCTGTCACGACCAAACGAACTGTGCACGTCAAAGGCACTGAAACAACATACTGGAAACCCTTAATTTTCGCGAGCCCTTAAGTTTCGCGAACTTCGCGAGTTAAAAAATTCGCGAAATTAAGGGCACGCGAAAATTTCGGTTTATGAAAGTTTCAATGCAGGCGTCTGGAATTCGCGAAATTTAATGGCTGCGATTATGTCCTCCGTGACCAATTGGCGAAAGATTGGGGCCACGAAAATAAAGGCTTTTATTGTATTCTCAAGGAGTTCCCTACATTGTTTCAAGAATTCGACTGTTCGCTACAAGCTTACAGCGTGATTCTCAAAGAAGGTGTTTGGCCAGTAATCCAGCCAGCAAGACGCGCGCCAGAAGCACTGCAAAAGCCATTCAAGCTAAAACTAAAGCGCACGGAAGCTGCTGGTATCATCACCAAGATAGTCAAACCTTCAGATTGGGTGAGTCCCCTGGTCATAGTTCGTAAAAAAAGATAGCCGGTTACGGATATGCTTCGACCTACATCAAGTAAGTCCGAGCCTAAAACGAAAACACTGAGCTTCGACATCGGGAGGACATTGAGGCTAAGTTAGTAAGCGTGCAATTTTTAGCAAATTTGATGCAAATGCTGGATTCAACCAGATACCTCTTGAGGAGGCAACGTCTCAGATCTGTAGGTTCGGTACGCCATTTGGGCGATACAGATTTTCACAGCTACCGTTTAGTACTGCGTCACCACCAGAGGTGTTAAAGAAATAGTCGAGTATTCGACGGTCTACAACGCTTGCGCGTCTATATCGCCGATGTACTACTCTGGGAAAATTCACACGACGGACGCGATACGAGACTGAGAGCTGTCTTGGACTCAGCGAAACCTTTCGGATTAATTATAAACATAGAAAAATACTCGTCCGTGCCTGAACAAAATTATTATTTGGGAGACCTGGTCGACAAGAATGACATAAAGCCGGCAACTCTGATCCAGTGCGCAAAAGACCTCTTTCACTCTACGTGTAAAAATGACTCAACGTTTGTTGGGTGTGCCTACCTACTTTGGAAAGATGTATGCCCTGCTTGTTTGAGAAAACCCGTATGTTACGTACCCAAAAAAGAAGGGGAACGTTTTTATTCGAACATCATGCTTCATAATGAATTAAAAACCTCCAGAACTTGCTAATTATACAGCTTTATTAGCGGCGATTTTCGATACAAAAAAAAAATTAAAATCTTAACTGATGCATTAACTTCCGCTGTCGGGGCGGTGGAGTGTCAGCATCACAACAAAGACTGGCGACCTGTCGTATATACCTCACGAGTACTTTCCGACAGCGAAATTAGATATACACAAATAAAAAAAAATAGAAAGCCCTGGGAATATCATTTCGCTATCAGTGTTTTCAGGAGTTTGTCTATAGCCACAGAATAACTGTCGAAACTGATCATTGCCCTTTGTTGGCGGAGAAAATGTTGGAGACACGCCTCCGTTCGACTACAAACTTGAGTTCGTTCCCGAAAGCAACTACTACTGGCTGGCACACTGTCCCGCATACGAATGACCCTGACGCTGGTACAAACAAATGTGCCAAAGACGTGCCCAATCGTATCAAAATATTTTGGCGGGCTAGTTGGTTGTACATACTAAATTGCAAATGGTGCTAAGAAAAGGACAGACGAAAAAGTGGACAGGACAGGCGCTACAAGGACAGACGACGAAGTGGACAGGATGGCACTTGTCCTGTCCACTTTTTCGTCTGTCCTTGTCTTAGCGCTATTTGCAATTTTAGTGTGCCCAATCATGCTAAACGCGAGTTAACAAGCATTGAAAGCGAAACGATGATGTCAGGACTTGCCTGTACTGCTTCACAGGGCAAGGAGTTGCCTAGAGGTCGAAAAGCATGCAAGACAAATGGTTCAGAAGGAGGTAGGATGGCTCTCTTTGCACCGGAAGTGCCTTCTTTACGAGGCATAGCAATGCGCGAACCCAAAGATGTAATCCCGAAAGCATTAAGAAGAAATATGCTACAGGGCCTTCACGTATGGCCTTTAGGGTCAAATAAGTGGAATGCAAAAACCAGTGTGTTAATATACTGGCCTGGCATGAAGGCTGATATTGAAACGATGATTAGGAATAGTGAAACTTTCCCCCCATTTGCATATTAACCTTCCCCTCTGTGTTTGCTGAATAGGAACACACGTGGTAAACTCTGTGTCTTTGCTCAATGGGAGCACACGTGGTAACCGTGCGAGTGTAGATCTCTGTGAACGCGTTGGCAAAAGTTGTATTGTAGCGTACGATGCGTACTCGAATTATCCAGACGTAGAGTTGTTTTCAACCACTTCGAGTAGAAGAGTTATCGAAAAGCTGTATGGTGTGCTCGCTAGGCATGGTATACCTGATGAGGAATACAAAGGCGGAGGCCCACAGTTTATGTCACATGAGTTCTGCACGTTTGCCAGAGTATATGACTTCACACGTGACATTCTTAGTCCCCGGTTCCCGTGGTCGAATTGTTTGGCGTAAAAGCCGGTGCAGCTCAACAAGAGATAATTAGAGAAAACAAAGAACGCAAGCGAAAACTTTTGGATCGGGCCTTTAGACTGCCAAACAACCCCTCTGGAAGATGGAAAATGTTAATCGGAGCTCCTATTTGAATGGAGACTGAGGTTCCAAATTCCAGGAGGGAGTTTGTCCGCCTCCTCAGACGTACGAAATCATGGAAAGCTCTGCCGTGACCACTTACCTTTGCCGCGGGAGCACGGGGTGCGAACCGGCAACGAACGAAGCATCCCAGCACAGGTACAGGAAATCATAGCACCACGTTCGTATTTGGTACTTACAGAGCAAATCAAGAGTTCCGCGTAGTAACAGGCAGAACCTGAAGAGGACCCTTAAGAATTTCAGCAAAGTGACAAGCTCGAGGACACAACTGCAACCGCAAGATCCCCAAAAATTGGTTCAGTATATTAAAAGACACACCTGAACAGTAACCCAAATTGCAAGTCACAATATTTTGTTTGCAAACAAAGTTTTGTAGGAGAGTCCTTTTGGTAACACTGAAAACGTTACGTCAGATGTTGTAATATGAGGCGGTACAGCCTTTTCACGACGGGTTACAAAAGGCTTTATGGTGTGAAGTGAATGTTGCAAAGACTCACGCCAGGCTAAACGTAAAAAAAAAAGAAGGCTACAAAAGACTGTGTTTAGATTTCCTGCTCGACTTGCAAGTTATACATGTGCAGGAGAGTGCGTAAAGTTTTGGATGTTCCTTTTTGGAATTACCTCAATTCGCCATTTTTTCTATGTCTATATTGAAATTAAAAACCGTATACAACACTCTGGGAGTTAAGACAAAACAAAAAATGGGCATTCCGAAAAAAATTAATATTTTAGGCAGCTAAAAAAAACAAAAAAAAAAAAAAAACGCGGCAGCTCCTTATAAAAGTTTAAGCTGACCCATTGCAGTGCGCATGCGCAAGATCGTCTGCTTCTTGGGCAGGTGTTGTGTTGACGTCAGAACGCCGAGCTTTGATTGCTTCTGATTGGAAGGATAGTGGGTAGACCTCAAGGCAGCTAGCCTTGAGGTCTACCCACTATCCCCCCATTAGGGCCAATCGGAGCTCGGCGTTCCGAGGTTAGTGCGATCCCTGCCCAAGAAGCGGACGAACTTGCTCTCCGGATCGGTTTCCCACACCCCCATGCTCTTCCAGTTCTTCCCGGGAAACAGCCTTTGCGGCCTGGATTTGTGGAACGGAAAAAAGTCCGTTAAGGACAAGTCTGGTGTCTACGCAACGCACCTTTTCACCGACAAAGCTGTGAACCTTATAGAGGAGCACGATCAGTCTACAGTAAGAAGCCCATTTGTTTTGTTTCGTGGATATTCTTTTGCATAGCATCTCTATATTATAGCCGGGTACAACTTATGAATGCAGAAAAAAGAGTCACGAAGCAAGAAGCGTTATCCCACTAAGCTAGGCCTTGTGTTTCTTAAGGTACCTCCGACCAGACACCAACGCGCGGACCTGATATTACGCAACTGCGGTGGCAGTACTGTTGGCATGGCGCTCGCACAATGGAATTTTGTTTCTGCGCACTCGCAGTGACCACACCTGTTGTGGGCAAACGCTGACTTGCCTGTGGAGGGGTATTCACATGTGGGATACTTTTCGGGGAGAAATGTACGTTACGTCAGTGATCGGTGGAACCAGCATTCCGACTCCAGCATTCACAGGAAAAGCGGGGAGCCAAGCGGGACGTTAGTGTTATCGGACGCATTTAGTGGTCGATTTCTCGACATCAGGGCCCGTTTACTCGAAGCGCTAACCGCGGCTAAAGTTAGCCGCAGTGCCTAGGAGAGGGATTTTGAAATCACGTGACTGGCTCGGTAGGGATGCGGGGAAGCATGGCGGTGCCCCGGTGAGTGGGCGCCGCTCGCTTTGGAACTACTATGTCGTTGTAGCTGCAATATCGAGCACGTTAGTCAGCAACGAATGGTGCAGGAGGCTTTCGCTTTGCCTTACCTCACTTAAATCGCAAAGCATGAGCAATGACCTCGCCGCATTTTTTTAGGTAGTCTTTCGATTCTGGCCATTCCTAAGCCTAAAGGAACGCGACAATTGTCGGCATGGCAACGTTTTTGGAAAGCGGATTGCCTTGACTCAATCGGCCGGGTATTGATAGCGCACAAAAGCAGACAGCGTCCCTATAGACCTTTTTCTAAATTACCCAAGCATCGAGGAGAACGCTGAAAGTGCAATTCGACGGTCCGCGCGCGCTGGCCTTCCTCTTATAAAAGATTCGAAATAAATATTCATGATAAGGCTTTGACGAACGCGCGTGCAAGGCAAAATTTGTTTTAGTCTTTTTGCTTTAGAATAATTACTACTGCAGACGCCAGCACGTCCAGCGCGTGTAACTGCACTCGTAGCATGCACGTCGGTGCGTGGGAAATTTAGAAAAAGGTCCAATGGTACCAAGATTGGGACGCTGTCTGCTTTTGTGTGCTATGAATACCCGGCCAATTGAGTCAAGGCAATCCACTTTCCAAAGACGTTGCCATGCCGACAGGCTTAGGAATGGCCAAAATCGAAAGACTATCTAAAAAATGCGGCGAGGTAATTCCTCATGCTTTGCGTTTTAGGTGAGGTAACGCAAAGCGAAAGCCTCCATGCACCATTCATTCGTTGCTGACGAACGCGCCTGATATGCAGCTACAACGATATATTAGTTTTAAAGCGAGCGGCGCTCACTCACCGGGACACCGCCATGTTTCCCCGCATCCCTACCGAGCCAGTCACGTGATTTTAAAGTTCCTCTCCTAGGCACTGCGTCTAACTTTAGCCGCGGTTAGCGCTTCGAGCAAACGGGCCCAAGTCTCGGTGCGCGCTAACGAGGGTAGAAAAATGGAGGCGTACGTGAAACGACAATGCGCAATTATGGCAGCTGCGCCGTTAGATGCAGAATACGACGAACTGCTTCCTGCTAAAAACTAAATAAAAATAAAGATACTTCTTGAATGGGTGAATGCTACACAAAGATTGGAATCCAAAAGCAGTTTTATGAGGAGCGGCTTGAGGATGTCATCGATGAACATCCAAGACTCCTTCGGCAGCCTCGGACGGCATGCACAACGGTGCAAGCCACTACAAGCCAGACAATCACGATGCCACCGTCGGTATTCCATAGAGCTCACTCTGTAAAGTTGCCAGACACGCGAACAAAATACCGCCATTTGTCAAAAGATCCCACGACGAGGCGGGGAGTATCTGTGCGGCCAGAGCTCAAGCTCCCCGGCCCCCCTGGGAGTTTTACACCAGCGCGGCTCCGCGCAAAGGTGTTTCGTTGTTCCCACGTGTTCCGCATCCCGCGGAGCAGAGGGAGGGATTTCTCCCCCGTGCGAATACCCCTCGAAGAGCAAAGTAAAACTTGTATGGCGCCGCTGTCACGCCGTTCATACGTCCCACCAAAGGCTACGTTTACATGGATGCCACAGCAGCGCATCGGATCCAGTTAGCGAATCGGATCCACTTGAACCACTACGTTTACATGGATTCGGATCGACCAGCAGCGGCACCTGGTGTCGAAGGTCACAACGCAAACCTCGTGACCTTCAGATTGTTTCCGAGGTGTCCGGTTTGCCTAGCGGCAGGCAAAGCAAAGCTCCCGTAATCCCTCGCTCGAGCACTCGATCCGATCCGCTAGCGTATACATGGAGAGTCTCGATTCGGATTGACCATCTCAAACCACCCCGTCCCAGCGGATCGGATCGGATCGGATCCGATCCGATCCGAGCTGTTTACATGGACCGATTCGATTCATTAACTGGATCCGATGCGCTGCAGTCGCATCCATGTAAACGTAGCCAAAGACACGTTGCTCTCTGCAAACATGCAGACAGAAATATCGGCGGATACGCCTTAAGTCTGTTCGAAGCCGGAGCATAGCCTTCTCTATACTCACGAAGCCTGGCAGTTCGACGACGGAGCCATTGAGTGCACTGCGAGAATCTGGTAGCACAGAGCGTCAAAGAGTTATTTCTCGGGGAAATTGGACGTGAGCACACAGCTTCTGCAGAGGCGAGGGCCCAAACACACTTGTTCGCTCGGTAGAAGTGTGTTTCGGGGTCTCGCCGCAGCGGGGCGCCAGTCACTTGGCTCTCTTCTCATCCGTTGTCTGCCGCTCCACCTTTTCTATTTCGGCGACCGCTTTTCGTGGCCATCTGCCAGGCTTTGTTAGTATATAAAAGGTAGTGTTCGAACACATCTGCAGACAGCTTTTGTATGACCAAACTGTCAGGACCTTCATACAAGGAAGAAACGTGCCCCACGCGTGGTCTGCAGACTGTCTTTTGTTTGATGTCTCAGCAGTGTGAGCGCGGTTTACACGTCTGTTGTGCATACTTAGGCTGCATTAAGAACGCGAGTCTTTCTTGTCGACTCCTTTTACATCTGCGGTATAGACGGAACTTCGCCATCATTACCTGCCCACGCGAAAGGACCGTGACAGGAGAGCCATATTTCTTCGAGGGCGAATTATGACAGACTAAAATGCACGACACGCAAGCACTTTTTTTAGAAGAATGGAAAATGCTTTTTTAAGTGCACACCCTTTTCCCGGACTTTTTCGCTCCGTCCTTCAGTCCGTCTTTCCATGCATTTCCTCGCTAAATCTAGCGGCAAAATGACATGACGTGACGTCATGACATCGCGTGACGCCACGATCGCACCGTGACGGCAGGACACGCGACGTGAATTTCGCTGTGGTATTTAGCGGGAAAATCGACTTTGCGTGTCGTCAAGTCTCGAGACGGATGAGACGTGGCACCTTGACGTCACGTAAATTTCTCCGGAAATCGTGGTGGGGAAATGAATAAACAGCATAATCCTCATCTTGCAAAACGACTGCTTAATTAGGATGTTTTCTGAACACATTTAAGTTGTCACTTCTTAAGTTCAGCATTTTGTATATTGTAGGATTTTGAGGATATGTCGCTGGTAATTTTTTAGTGTCGCACATCATGACTGACGCCTGTTTTTTGTTGTCTCTGTGCAGCCGCTGTTTTTGTACCTTAGCCACCTGGCCGTTCATGCAGGCACTCAGTATGGGCCAATCCAAGCCCCAGAAGAAAACGTGCAAAAATTCGATTACATTGGGGTAAAAAACAGAAGCCTTTACGCCGGTAAGTTTTGTGAATTCAGTGTATGTTTCACTCTATTCCTAAAGAAGCGGGTCAGAAAATCTCCAGGTTTAGATACCGAAACGATTTCGTTATATTGAACTTTAATACAGTTTGCTTGTTTCTCTGTTGTTGAATATTTAGTTTTTACCTTTCAGTGCCAAAGGCATTTCTCAAAACGAAGCATTTGCGCACAGTCAACCACTCTAAAGTATAGAAGTCGCTTCTGAAACGCTCCATTCACAGATGAGGCACAGCGCTCTCTCAGTGCTACGACACGACGCTCCCTTTGCGCGATGCAAGCACTAAACTACAAGCATGAACTAGCCTTTAAGCCCCTGCTGTCTCAAGAGCCAGCTATTTTTCGGCGGGTGACCACGTAATAGAACAATATATAGTTTTAGAATAGCCTACACCCAAACGCTTTGCGTACCCAAAGATGTAGCATAGTCTCCACTGCGCATGCGTTAAACCCACACCGTGTTTTATGTCTGGATTCGCAGGCTTTGAATGTTACGTGAGTGTACCAAAACTCGCCCCGAAATCTTCGCGTTGCTCTCGCTAGGCGCGAGGAGTCCACGCTGTAGAACAGTGTGTCACGTGAGCACGTGAAACGTCCTACTTAATACCATAGGGCAGACATTTTTTTAAGTCTCAGCCTATTGGAAGGTTTCATAATCCCACGTTTTGGGTCCCGCGAGCAGCTTGGGGGATAGTACTGTGGAAGCGCAGTGCGACGCACCCAGCTTGTTCGGGAGACCAAACATGTTGGGGTCCCTATTGTAAAACTCTCTATTTTCAGTATCGTCCTTCCCCGAGTTCTATTCCCAGGCTGCAGAGATTGATTCTTCGGATTGATTTGCGGGAAAGAAAACACACTGTATTTGTCTGGTTTAGACTGGACACTCGTTATATGTCCTACTGTGGCAGGTGCCGTCGACGCTCTCGACCAATCCATGGGCATCGTCTTCCAAGCACTGGAGAAGAAGGACATGCTGCAAAACACCGTGTTGGTGTTCCTCAGCGACAATGGGGCCATCCCGTGGGGCGAGTGGTCCAACGCTGGTTCCAACTGGCCCCTGCGAGGTGCCAAGTTCACTCTGTGGGAAGGCGGAGTCCGCGTCCCGGCCTTCGTCTGGAGTCCTTTGCTCCGAAAGCCACAGCGCGTGTCGAACCAGCTGATGCACGTCAGCGACTGGGTGCCCACCCTCTACTCCCTGGCAGGTACGGGGGCAAAGACTCGCCTATTTAGCTATTGCTAAGTACGGGCCTCAAGAAGCTAAACAAAAGGCATGCGTCAGGAAACTGAGGGTGAGGAGGAGACAATAGCACGTGGGGAAGTCAGAACGCCGAGCTCTGGTTCAAATGATAAGTGGGTAGACATAAAGCTAGCTGTTTCTGTCTCCGGAGTGTCGAACCGAAATTGTTAATCGGTTCGGTTCAGGTCGCAGGTTTACGGCCATCGGTTCAGTTCCGGTTCAGCTCCGGGGAGCAAAATAACGGTTCAAACTGGTTCGAACCGGGAAAGCGTGAATACATTTTCCGCATTCGTTTTGTGTAAATTAGCTAGGTTTTTCTGGTTTGTACGTAAAATCCACTTCCATTTTTATGCAACCCAAAAAAAAAAAGAAAAGTTGCGTTGTTTTATTTAGATTAAGCAGTCTAAAAAAAATTAGGTTAGAATTTAAAACGTTGTGCTTATACAACTCAGTTATCTGGTGTTTCTTACAAGCGCATGCCTTATTTGAATCCAAAAACTGTCACAACGTTATGCTAATCACCTATAAATGTCTGTGCGTGCTACAACTTATACTCGTTGCCACATCAAAGACAGAAGTTTGTTTTTTACACAATATTTATGGGCTGCGTGAAATATAGTTCTTACAATATTTGGTTCGTGAAGGAAGAAACGATGCTTTGGGCATTTTAGGCTTGCACGTCTTCATAAAATGACAGAAATATATAGTCTAAGACACGCCTACATATGCCTTAATTTCAGGGACTCAAACCGTAACCGTAACCGAAGCCGAAAACCGCTTAGGAACGAGATATTTTCAGTAACCAGAACTGAAACGAACCTGTTATTTAATTTTTTTTTAAACCGTAACCGTAACCGTAACGTTCAATTAATCAGCGGGAACCAATATTAACAGAAAAATCAAAATAATATTTTTTCTCAAGAGTGACCTCGAGGAGAGATCTTGAAATGTCGCGGCCATCTTAGAGAGCTACCGTCAGCGAACGGTGAATCTTGTAATACATTTTTTGTTCAATCTAAATTTAGGATTAAGAATAGTTAGATGGAATCAGTGGTGAACCTCATAATAAAAAGTATCTATTTCTAAATCTGCCGCACTCCTAAACTCGCAACGCGTATTGAACAAGTGTGCCCTGTAGAGTATTAACGAGAAAATTAGAATGCTGAGATGTCCATCCAACTCGGGTCTTTCAAAACCACCGATGTTTTTGACCTGCAGTAGCCAGAATGAAGAAACGAGGTAAATTGACTATCACGCAGAGCTGGCGGAAAGCAAACCCTGCTGTTCATTTCGTCTGGGACTCTGTCGTTCGTCTTTTTAGTATTTGTCGGTTTGTATCTCTAAACTCCACCATTGACGTATGGCCTCGCTTTTCTACGAAAAAAATATAATCATCATAGATCCCCCCTCCCCGTCGTCCAGTCGTTTCATAAACGGCGAGGGGGAATAATGCGACCAAGGCAGTGAAATGTGAAGAGGGTATGACAGAGGACGTACTGAGCAAAATGTGTGAACGCGAAGTGTTGTACTACAATACCTCGATTTTTCGAGCTAGCTAATCCAAAGACATCATCTGAATGCGGATGGCTTCCTGATTCCGAAATATTATCGCGTTCCTTTAGAATCACTCTATAGCTAATTAAAAAAAAAAAGTTACATTTTGTTGACTGCCAAAACCAATACATAATTTTCCACAGTTTACTCCCCAGTTTTCCCCAACATCCAAACGTGACGTCAAAGGTGGGCAGCGAGGAATACAACCGGCAATCGGGTACGCTCGCGCCCGCCTTTTACACGCACCAAACAGCGGGAAAACAGGGGCGTTCGTGCTATCTGAAGGTGATAATATTATCTCGCTGTGCGAAGTATGACCGTGGCCTATGTGCTTAAGTATGAGAAAGGGTGAAAAAAAATGGAAGCAATTGGCAATTTGAGAAAATTGTTTTTGCAACTCGGTACGCTCAAGCCGCAGCGTGCTAGTTTCGTGAAATCGCTAGCAAATCAGTTCACCTTCTTTCAAAAGCTGGCAGTAACGCTGGCGAAGAAAGGGCAAAGAGTCACGCAATACATTTTTTGAAATATTACCAAAGCACCACGGAGAATGCTCCGAATGTGGGTACAGGTGCCACACACGCTCGTGTAACCTGAAGGAACATGCCATTTCTTTTAGATTTTCTTTAAAAAACTTACTGTTGCAGACGCTAGCGCGCGTTACTACTTTTGTAGCGTATATAGACCGTTTTATCGTGGGTAGCGCCATCTTGAGAGCGAAAGAGAAAAGGGGAAAGGGCTACCGGCGCTTTCCTCCTTTCTGATTGTGTAGAAAGAGTGAAAGTCCCGGATGAGAGGCTTGGCCGGTGTTGGGTGCCCGCAGTACCCCAACTTCGTTCGCGCTTTCTTCTTTGTTTCAAACTCCCAAACTTAATTAGAGCCATGGTCTTCAATGGCGACAGTCCCTCGGTCATCGGGACACCATTGCTGGGTGATAAAGTGCACGAATAACGACAGAAAGCGTCGAATACTGTCCGAGGACCTATTGTAGCTTGCATGGAATCCGGCAAGGCGAGTGCGGCTGTAATGTTTTTTTAAGCTCCATCGCTTTCCGCATGACTGGAAATGATGAACCATTTATCAATTTTTTCTTGCAATGAGCCTATTTCAACGTAGCCATTTTTAGTAATCAACAAGCGATACACGAATCGGGAACCTCAATTAACTTTTGTAAACACCCGGAGCTGCTACTGATCGTTTTGCTGCGCTGCTCTTATCTTCGTGTTCGTATTCTTATATTTCCTTGTGGATGAACGACGAGGACGTTCTAGATGTACTTAGATGAAACCGCAGTAAGTCTCAAAGCAGCCACGAATAATTTTACTATTTGATGCAATAGTTTGAGTACTCACCTCCAATTTCTATCGCTGACACGTTCGCTGCCGCTGTTCCCCCCGTCGCCGCACTGACGGATGCCATGACTCGAACAAAGAAACTTGCACACTGGGCTCGAAAACGCAGATCGCAACACACGAGACGTACCCTGCAGCGACTGTCCGGCGTTTCAAATCGCCCAATCAAAGGAAACAACAAACCAGCGCCACTCCAAGGAGCTCTTTTGTCGGCTCTCTGGTATCACGCAGGAGATCGCGATTCAAGAAAACCGATAGAACTACCATTTCAAAAATTTCCAGCCTCACCCGGCGGCGGAAACGAGCCTTCAACTAAGCGTTGTAGATGACAAAATTGAGTCAGTCACCACTGAAAATGATCAATATTAAGATATATTCAGTTACAAAATTTCACAAGCTCAAACAGCAGTTATCACGAGAAGACTCGCACGCACCTTGCGAGCGTACCCCATATTCATCGGCGGTACAGCGTTCGGTGCGCGCTCCATTCACAAAATGTTCCGAGCACAGTCGAGAGGTTGGCGTTGAGGAAACGCCTTTTCGATTTACGGACGCAATCCACTTCCGCCTGAAACCGGGGTCATATGGAAAGCGATGGAGCTTTCTACATGATCCCGACATTGCATCGCAAGACATTGCAGCCGCTCTCGCCTTGCTGGATTCCTCGCGAGCTACATAAGTCCTCGGACAGTATTCGACGCTTTCTGTTTTTATTCGTGTACCCTATGACCGAGCAATGGTGTCCCGATGACCGGGGGACTGTGGCCATCGAAGCCCGTAGCTATAATTAAGTTTGCGAGTTAAAAACAGAAAAGAAAGTGCGAACGAAGTTGGGGTACTGCGGGCACCCAACACCGGCCCAGCCTCTCATCCGGGACTTTCACTCTTTCTACACAATCAGAAAGGGGGAAAGCGCCGGAAGCCCTTTCCCCTTTTCTCTCTCGCCCTCTTTCAGTAAAACGGTCTATAGGTTCCTTGGTGCTTAAGTAATTTAGCAAAATAACTATAGACCATTCCGGAAAAGTTCTTCTGGTCGGTGCCATTTTCAGCGTTCGCGCGTGTGGTGCGTATAGACCTTTTCTGCAAGGGCGCCGCCATCTTGAATTAACGTCACTTCCAGTATGGGCGAAAACATTGTTTTGCCTTTGCCACGCCAATAGAAGGTATTTAGGATATAAGCGTAACCGTCACACTGTCTCGTTTTGCCTCCCCTTTATTTTTGTACTATTTGCAGGTTGAAACGTTGGTTTAGTTTTTCGTCGCCCATACCGGATACGCCTATTAGGTGGCTGGGGACGAGAGTACACAGAAAAGGTCTATAGACGTTTCCTGTTTCCTGACGTTCTCGGTCACGTGGGTTCCGTATCTGGCATGCGGGGCGATAAAGTACGAGGAAGTTTCAAGCTGGAATATGGGAGAGAATATAGGTGAGGCAAAACAAGAGCGTGTGACAATCGCACATTTTTCGTGAACCATTTTCAGCGGAATGGAGGGATCATAACGATGTTTTTTCACACACCAGAAGTGACGACATTCAAGGTGGCTGCACCCTGGTGGAAAGGGTGTATTCTTTGCTCGCCTTCCAAAGCGGCGAACATGCACGTGCTGGGCTTTGACCTAACACATGTAGACTGTGATTCTCGCAAACATTGACATGTGTATAATGGAATGATCTGCATTCGTGTAGGCCAGATATCCACCAAGCGAAATATAAAGGTGCAATCAATGACGTATAAAATACGCAAATACACTATTCATCTAAAGAAAAATAATATCTGCTTGAAGATACAATAGTGTATAAAGTACAGAAGCGCATCATAAACTTTTAATTCAAAACAAGTTAACAAAAGTAGCTAAAAAAATGTGTACCCACAGTTCTATTTTTTTTCACTGTCGGTGTAAATTGCAACATGTTCAAACACTCATCCATGAGTGCACATGGGAAGGAGGTAATTCTCTGTAAAATTTTATAAAATAAATTTTTGGCTTTGTACTGTATCTATCAGCTGTAAACTTACATACCTCCCCTCTACGACATTAATATTTTCGGTTTTAAAAACTT